TGGGGATGGTTGTCTTGTATAGTATCTCACAGGGGTTCTCTATTTTTCTTGAATTTGTATGTCCACCTCTGGTGAGATTGGGGAAACTTTTGTGAACTATATCCTTAACCCTGCTTTCCAAGTTGCTTATTCTCTCTACCTTTTCGCTAAGTAATGCCAGTGAGTCATAGAATTGGTCTCTTTTCATAATCCCGCATTTTTTGAAGGTTTATGCATTTCTTTAATTTTTTTATTTTTGTCTGACTGAATTGATTTGAAAAACTGGTCTTCCATCTCTGATATTCTTTCCTCACCTGGGTCAATTCTGCTTTAATGATACTAACTGTATTATTAATTCTTGAAGTGAATTGTTCAATTCCATAAGCTCAGTTTCATTCTTTCTTAAAATAGCTATTTCATCTTTTAGCTCCTAAAATGGATCATTTTAGTGGACTCCTTGGATTGGGTTGCAACTTTCTGCTCAATCTCAATTATCTTCCTTGTCATCCAGATTCTGAATTCTATGTCTGTCATTTCAGTCATTTCAACCTGGTTTTAAACCATTACTAGATGACTATTCTGTTAATTTGGAGGTAAGGGGTCACTCTGGCTTTTGGAATTACCAGAGATTTTGATTGATTCTTTCTCATGTGTGAGGGCTAGTGTTCCTTTAACTGATAGAAGTTGAGTATAGTCAGTTGGCTTCATTTCTGGTTGCTTTCAGAGGGCTAATGCTCTGTGCAGGATCTTTGTGGGCTGGATTTTTACCTTAGGTTTTACAGATGCTGTATACTGGCAAAATATTTTTAGTGTTATAATTTGGGCTGAAATTCAGTTGATGGTGCTTAAGAGTAGTAGCCAGCAGATAAGCTCCTAGCCCTCTGCTCTTTTGTATTTTGACACATTCACAGTAGTGCTCTGTAGTAGAGGGGAGAGAGATGACGACTCCCCCTCAACTAGGTTCCCTCCTGGGCTTTGGAGGAGTCCCCACCAATCACTAGCTGTGTACCTGCCTTTCCTTTGTTAGGCTTTGGAGGAGTCCCCACCAATCACTAGCTGTGTACCTGCCTTGCCTTTGTTAGGCTTTGGAGGAGTCCCCACCAATCACTAGCTGTGTACCTGCCTTTCCTGATCTGAGCTGCAGGGTTGCCTCAGACAGGGGCCATAGCTGGCAGTCAGGCCATACCCTTCTATTACTGGCCCTGTGGAGGGAGGCACACCCACTCCCCAATCAGTCTGAGAACCTGGGCATCTCACCTCTTTCACTGTTCTGAGAGTGGGAGCTTCCCCCTTGCTTGAGGGCTGCACAAGCCAGTGAGTCCCACCTAGCTAGGAGCAGCAGGGGTGAATGAAGTCACCTGATCCATTATCCAGGCATTTCCTCAGGGAACACAGAGCTGTGCCCACCCACAGATTTCAGGCAGAGGTGTGACCACTGTGCAGAAGCCCCAGCCAGGGAGTCTTGCATGCCTAGGAGCAGCAGGGTTGGGTGGAGTAGTCTGGCCCATCATCCAGGTGCTTCCTGGGAGAACGTGTAGCTGCACCTACCCACAGAGTTAGGCAGAGGCAGTTCTTCTATGTTGGCAGCCCCAGCTAGCATGTCACACTTGCCTAGGAGCAGCAAGGGTAGGTGGAGTAACCTAACCTGCTGTTTGGGTGCTTCTTGGAGAAACATAAAACTGTGCCTCCTGGCAAAGTTCAGGCAGGTGTGAGACCACTGTGCTGGAAGCTGATACTGAGCCTTACCTGGTGAAGGGGAGTCGAGCAATCTGACTGCTCTCTGGCACTGTGACTGGGGCCTCTCTTGGGGCTATGGCAGCTTGCACCAGGCTGCTCCAGGGCCCAAGGCCAGCGGGTGTCCCTATGGACTTTAGTGTTGCTTCTACAGAAACTCTAAGTGGCTCTCAGTATCAGCCTAGAGGCCCTGGGGGAGTCATGGATGTTCTTCCATTCCCAGGATTGCATAAGTCCCTGTGGGTAGTGTGGATCCCCTGGGGGTTCTCACCCTTTCCCCTTATTGGGGAGCTTCACTTGCCTCTAGGCCAGTCCCAGGTGACTGACTGGATGCTCAGCTTTGCTCTTCTCTGTTCTCTATGTTCTCTCACTCCCTTGATGGATCCCCATGTAGTTTCTTCAGTTTTTTTCACTTTCCATCTGTCTTCTATTTCCTATATTTTCTTTGATTTCCAGTGTATTTTCCTTTACTTGATTGAGCATACTTAGTTATTGTAGCTTTGTAGCTGCTTTAAAGTGCTTGTCTAGGGCCAATATCCAATAGCTTCTAATGGATATTATAATTTCTTCTTCAACTCATGGGTTTGGGGACATTATATTATTTTTATAAATTATTAGATATTGAATTTGTAGATATCTTTTGGTTTCTAAGTCAACTGCACTTTGCTCATAGAACATACTTTGTATAATGTCAAATCTTTGAAATGTGTTTGTTTGATGACACAGCATATGGTTAATAGTTGTGAATAAATTTTTTGAGCTTAAAAAAAGGTTTATTCTGCAATCATAAACACAGTGGCTTTATTGTGCAATCATAAGCACAGTGGCTTATGCCTATAATCCCAGCACTTCCGGAAGCAAAGGTGAGCAGATGACTTGAGGCCAGGAATTCTAGGTCAGCCTGGCCAACATGGCAAAACACTATCTCTACTAAAAATACAAAAATTAGCTGGGCATGATGGAACCCACCTGTAATCACAGATATTTGGGAGGCTGAGGCACTAGAATCACTTGAACCCAGGAGGCAAAGGTTGCAGTGAGCCAAGATTGCACCACCGCACTCTTGTCTGGGTGACAAAGTGAGGCTGTCTTAAAAACAAAGTGCTTGTCTAGTAATTTCAATGCCAGATCATTTAGGAGTTGGCATCTGTTGTCTTTTTCATCTAAAGTAAATTGCATTTTCTGTTTTCTGTAAGTAGAATAATTTTAGACAATCTGGGATATTGTTAATATTATATTGTGTAGACTGAGTTTAGTGATATTCTTCTGATGAATGTTGATTTTTTTAATGGCAGTTAATATGATTAGATTCAAACTGCAAGTTCTCTCTTGCTTCACGTAATTGACAGGGTATAGCTCAAATCAATTCACATTACTTTGAGTCCTTTCTATGAGTACATGTTTTAGGGGTCAGCCTGAAGTTCATATACAATATTGAGGAATCTTTTTTTCCTTTCTGAATTCTCCCTCACTCTTCAGAATCTGGTCATATTTGGCCAGGCTACCTTCCCTGATTCTTCCATCCAGAAAGACAGCATGATTTCTTATCAGAGTTTTAGGCATTCTTGCACTGCCACAGCTGTCTATGGCTGTGACTACTATTGGGTTAATGTGGAAAAAAATGAAGAACTCATTTTGGTCACTTCATCCAAGTTTAGACTTTGCTTTAAAATTGATCTGTGTTTAGTCTCCAGAGCCTTCTGGAAGTTATGTTTTGGTTTGGTTTGATTTTGTGTTCATTTGTTGGTAGTGGGTGGGGTGGGTGCTGTATTTTGTCCACTGTTTACAGCCGTTATTTGCAGGAGTCATTTTTTAAGTGCCTTTTCCTATATTTAGAAAGTAGAATCTCCTGGTTAAAAAATAATATATGTTTTTAAAGCTTTAGTACATAAATTTAAACATGTAGTATTTTCATTTAATTTAGTTCTAAATAGTTTCTAATGGATATTATAATTTCTTCAACTCAGGGGTTTGGGGACATTATATTATTTTTATAAATCATTAGATATTGAATTTGTAGATATCTTTTGGTTTCTAAGTCAATTGCACTTTGCTCATAGAACATACTTTGTATAATGTCAAATCTTTGAAATGTGTTTGTTTTATGACACAGCATATGGTTAATAGTTGTGAATAAATTTTTTGAGCTTAAAAAAAGGTTTATTCTGCAATCATTGGCAAGTATTCTGAGTGTATCCATTAAGTCAGGCTTACTAAACATGTTTAAGTCTTCTAATATGATTGTGAATTTGTCTGTCTCCTATAGTTCAGTCAGTTTTTGCTGTGTATATGTGCTTGGGGTTATATTATTAAGTGCATATGAATTTATAATTCTTATATATTTCTGATAAATTGAACTTTTTATTACAAAGGGTATATCATGAACTCTGACCACTTGGTTCAACATTATTGTGGCTATACCAGATTTATTTTTTCTAATAGATAAATGGTATTATATTTTTCTATCCTTATTTCTTTTAACTTTTCTCTGTTCTTAGGTTTTAGATATGTTTTTTTACAAATAGCATATAGTTGAGGTTTTGCTTTTTTATAATTCGTATTCAAATCTGGCAAGTTTTTAACCATTTACAAATAATACAATGAAAGATACATTTGAGGTTAAATCTCTTGTTTTCGCTATGTGCTATTTGTCCTACTTGTTATATTTCTCTTTCTTTACATTTTGTCTTCTTTTATCATTCCGTTTTTCCCTCTATTGACTTAGAGGTTATCAACTATTTTATTGTTATTGTCGTTTCTTATTGGGGGAATTTTTTTTAATTAGTAGACTTTATTTGTTAGAGCAGTTTTAAATTTATAGAAAAATTGGACAGAAAGAATAGTTTCCATATATCTTCTTACCCTTCCCTCATTCCCCACCGCTAATTTCTCTTATTATTAACATTTGCATTAGTGTGGTACACCTGTTACAAATTGGTGAGCCAGTATTGATATATTATTATTAACTAAAGTCCATAGTTTACATTAGGGTTCTTTCTTTGTGTTATACATTCTATGGGTTTTGGCAAATATGTATGACATGGATCTACTGTGACAGTATTATACAGAATGTGGTCACTGCTCTAATAATCCTCATAATATTTTATAATGGTTCCCATAGAGGTTATAACATATATTCTTGATGTATCAAAGTACAAGTTATTTGCACCAGCTCAATTAAGAACTTCTGTATTTTAAATCTCTACATATTTTAGCCTCACAAAATATGATAATTCCAAGTAAACCAAAAATTTCAAGGGGAAAAAATTGTTTTTCATTCTCCCTAGGTGCAGGAAATGATGAAAAACAGAGACAAAATGTGAAATCTACAAAGAATGAGCCTCTCTTCAGGATCGTTTACAATCATGTGTCAATACTCTGTTCTGTTTTCCATCTGAAAAACAATGGTTTTGAATAGACATTGATGGTGACTCTACCTGAATATGATCTTAATTTGTAAGTAAAAATCTATGGGATATCTATGTAAAATTTATATAACAATTGCAGATATCTCTGAATAATCACACAAAAACATACACATTATACTTATGCATACATTGGTATTTCAATGCACATTCTCTGAAATCCTTGAACAATAAGTTCACAAATCACAACTAGCACTTTATATGTACTTCTTATAAAGCATACAAACCTGTCTCCAAGCTATTTACAAAATATCTAATCAGAAAATGTGTGAAAAAGAATTTATAACAGCATTTTTTCTCTTAATGAAAGATTAATGTTGCAATATTTCTTCTTTTATTTTGCTGTTTCTTCTTTAACTTTGTTTGTTATACTCTGCCATTAGTGGGTATGATTCTAATCTTTTCCTATGGTTAGCTCACTTCTGATTTTTAACCTACAGCAAAACTCAAGCATGTTGTACTGCTCTGTACACACCTGTGGGTGAGGCAGAATGTCACTTTCTCATTACCTTTATCCCCTAAAGAGTATCTATATCATGTGGAATGTATAACCAGTTCAACTGGTATTTTAATGGAAAAAGCCTTAACTTGGTCTATCTGGTATGAGGGTGTCTGCCCAAAGATCGTAACTGAGATGATCATCTGATACTACTTTTGTGATATGAACTTTCCATTTAATTTCTGTTTGAATATTACAGGAGACTTGATTTTTTATATTATTCAGTTGATGCATTGGTATAATTATATGGTTGAATTACAATAAATTAAGCTTCTGTTTGAACAATTCACACACAAGTTCCACTTTTTTATATCTTTCATTTCTTATAATTATATAAAAATTACTTTATAATTTCAAAGTTTTCTTGTATTTTTTTTCAGTTGTCCACAAAGTGTACATGTGGTCAAACTCAACAAATTTTCTCATTCAAACAGATAAGTAGCTCTGTTGACCGTGGGCTGGAAAAACTAGGTGAAGCTGATAAACTTGCATAAACCTATGGGAAAAGTTTGAGTTATACAACTATGGTCATACCAATTAGATGACTGAATAAAATCATCCAAAGATAAATGGACCAATAATATTATTAGTGATCAAAAACTCAAATGTTTATCAACAACATATGAAATTAATGATTAAATTTCATTCACTGGTTTTCAATCCTAAGACCAGATAATTTTGACATGTTTCTTAAAGCAGAACACTTGAGACTCACCACACCAGCTACTTCAGCCTTTCCTGTTGGCTTTCTGGGATGCCTTTCACAACTGTCATTTTTGACCTTTCAGAATGAGGCAATGGATCAGAGGGATGGGCTCTGTATGGTACAGTGAACCTGTCTAAAGATGTTTGTCTAGGAAGAAAAGGGAGAAAATGAAGATGAAGCTTCATATGCAATGACTCAGGCTCTCTGCTGAAAGAAATACCTAATATGGAAGATCAATCAGCTAAAAGTATATTCGGTTCTTAGTCCCTAAGTGGAAGGAAGTAGTCCCAGCCCGGGAGTAAACACTGAAGTATCTGGGTGGAACTAACTGTCAAGCAGAAGAGAAACAGGAGTCTCAGAATTGGCCCTTTTGGAGTAAAACTGACAGAAGATATGGATGAGTATGTCAAATATAAAAGGGAAATAAATGTTTCAGTGTCAGAATAACCAGAGATCAAAATACATGACCTCCCTTGAAGAAATCCTTAAAGAAGCTTATGAAAAATAGGTTATTTATATAGATATGAGGTACGAGTGTTTCAAGCATTGTTAGAGATGTTTATAACAACACTTATAACAATAATGGGCATTGTTAGCCCTGATTATTTTAGTAATATTTTTATCAACAGTAATATTGGATTTTACTTGAGCAATTCTGATTGCTTTCCCTCAAATCATTCCCCAGCTACCCTGATTTTCTCACAGTAATAGCAAAGCTACTAGAGCAGTTTTCCTCAATCTTTCTCTTCCCTTCTTCTGTTTAAAGAATAAATATGACACCATTGGTCATTAGAAAACTGTAAATCAAAACCACAGTGAGATATCACCTTACACTAACTATAATCAAAAGACAACAAGTATCAGTGAGGATGTGGGGAAATCAGAACCCTCGTATTCTGCTAGTAGAATGTAAAATGGTGCAGCCACTTTGGAAAACAGTTTGGCAGTTTTTCAGAAAGTGAAACACTGTGTTATCACATGACAGTAATTCTGCACCTAGGTTGATATGGTTTGACTGAGTCCCCACTCAAATCTCATCTCGAATTGTAGCTCCCATAATCCCAATGTGTCATGGGAGGGTCTGGGTGGGAGGTGATTGAATCATGGTGGTAGATTTTCCCATGCCATTCTTATGATAGCAAATGAGTGTTCATGAGATTTGATGGTTTTATAATGGGCAGTTCCCCTGCACATGCTCTCTTGCCTGCTTCCATGTAAGACATGCCTTTGCTCCTCCTTCTCCTTCTGCCATCATTGTGAGACCTTCCCAGCCATGTAGAACTGTGAGTTCATTAAATCTCTTTTTCTTTATAAATTACCCAGTCTCACATATTTCTACATAGCAGTATGAAAATAGACTAATACAGAGGTATATGCCCAAGAGAATTGAAAACATGTCCACAAAAAATCTTCTTCATGAATGCTCATAGCAGCATTCATAATAACCAAAATAAAATCAAAATAACTGAAATATCCATCAACTGGTGTATAGATATTTAATGTAGTCTATACATACAATGGAATATTACTTAGCCTTAAAAAGGAAGGCAACCTTTTCAATTGCTACATCATAGATGAACCTGGAGGACATTATGCTAAATAAAATAAACCAGTCACAAAAAGCAAATATTGTATGATTCTACATGTATGAGATATCTAAAGCAGTCAAATTTCCAGAAACAGAAAGTAGAAAGCTGAGAACCAGGGACCAGGAGGAGGGCAAAAGGGAGCATTTTAATGGATTTACTTTCAGTTTTGTAAGATGAAAACGTTGTGGAGATCTGTTGCACAACAATGTGAATATACTTAACACTACTGAATTGTACACTTTAAAATGGTTATAATGGCAAATTTTACATTATGTTTTTTTGCCACAATCAAGAAATGTTTTAATTCAAAGTGAAAAAAATGTGATACATTTATACAGTGGATTATTATTTAGCCATAAAAAGGTATAAGGTAGTATACATAACTACGACTTGTATGAGCTTGGAAAATACTATGTCAAATAAAAGCAGCCAGACATAGAAAACCACTATGATTTTATTTTTATGAAATGTCCCAAATAAGAAAAATTCAAAGGGACATAAGTAGATTAGTGGCTGTCAGGGGTTACAGTGAGGTGGTAATGGGGAGTGACTGCTAATGCACATGAGGTTTCCTTTGGGAATGATGAAAACATTCTGGAATTATGTAGTGGCAATGATTTCATAACTCCAAATATTCTAAAAACCGCTTAATTGTACACTTCAAAAGGATAATTTTATGGTATATGAATTATATACAAATAAAGCTATTTTTTAAAAAGTAATATGGAGGTTAATATTTTAAGTTTCACCATATGACAGGGAAGAAGAAAAATAGTTGTGAAACTCAGAACCAACAAAAATAAAAGTATCTTAGCCTTCCAGGAGAATTATCCATTTCCTCTACCCTTTACAAATTCCCTTGTTTTATTCTTTGGTCTTTGGTCTCTTGCATATACTTTATTTTTAAAATTAACCTCCTAATATTTCATGACTAGTAACTCATTCTCAGCTCTACTCACCCACTCTCTCCACCTATCTTCTTTTTCTCTTATGTATTGAACCTCTTTAATAACTCTATTCTAAACCACCTATTCTTGTGAATAAGTTATGAGTATGTTAAGTGTAATTATATCTGTCAGTACTTTGTGCTCATATGTCCCTAGATATAAGTGTGTGTGTAGGGGTGTAGGCAAGTGTGGTTTCAGGTGATTCTGTGCCTATGCTTGCATCTTCATGTCAATTTTTTGGTTGGAAACATTGTAAGGATAAAACTCAAAAAACGCTGTTTTTATAAGTGACAAATAATATGCTAATGTTGCTAGTGTGCCAGTATGTGAAGGTGCCTTTCTTCTCTTTCACCTTCCTTAGAGTCTCAGGCTATTTTTTTATAGAGTTGGCAGAATTTGTAACTATCTAATACCAGGTGGAGAATAGTAGTGTGGCCTATTATGAACACCTAGGGGATTCCAATAGTCAGAATAAATTGTTTGCCTAATTGAGTTTTTTTTTTTAAGAAAAAGAATTTTCCTCAAACTCCATTAAGATTACAGTAAAGATTTACAAAAGGAAGGAAATTTACTGTAATACTTAAAGCAGAAGGAAAAGAGACCAGAGATTTTTATGATTTCTGAAAACAGAAAGCAAATGGGATAGTGATGACAGGTAAACTAAAGCACAAGCCACTGCTTAGAACTCACAAGGGTAGCTAAGTGGAGGCAGAGCCTCAGAGGGCTCTAAATTCAGTAGTGGCATACACAGAGAAGTAGGCTATGAATATCTAAAGGACTCTTCTTTTCCAATGACTTTTACACTGTTTTAATCACCTACCACTAGAGCCACAGCTGGTCATCACCAGAACTGTTCCACCTATGAACAGTTCTAGACAGCTACACTTCCAGAAATTGCACTGAACCTCATTAATTTTATAGGGGAAAAAATGTGTCCACTTTTTATATTAAGAAAAAAATGAGATAATTGTCGAACTGCACTTTGGTCAAATAAATTGTGGCACATCCATACAATTTAATTATATCCATACAATAAATGTTGCCATATTTGTTGTTTAATTATTTGGATTAGTATGATTGGATGTACCCCACATTATATAACAATATAACTCTACATACATAACAACATACTTACACATATGCACACAAAAACAGTCAAATGGGGAAAGAGACAAACTGAAAAAAATTAAAGAATATAAAAATATGAAATCTTGAGTTGGGATGCTTTTTCTAAACATAATACCAAAGGCAGAAATCACTAAGAAAAATAATTACATAAGTGACATGAAAAACAAAGAAGAAACTATGGAGGAGGGGCCTCGAGATGGCTAAGTAGGTACATCTGGTACTCACCTCTTCCACAAAAAAGGAACCAAAATAGTGAGGGGATGATCACACTTTTTCCAGGACAGTGGTCCCCAAACTTTTTGACACCTGGGAAAGGTGCTATGATTTGGCCATTTCCCCACCTAAATCTCATCTTGAACTGTAGTTTCCCATAATCCCCATGTGTGATGGGAGGGACCCAGTGGGAAGTAATTGAATCATGGAACTGGTTACTCCCATACTGTTCTTGTGATAGTGAGTGAGTTCTCATGAGATCTGATGGTTTTATAAGGGGCTTTTCCCCCTTTGCTCAGCACTTCTTCCTGCTACCCTGTGAAGAAGGTGCCTTTCCTCCCCTTCACCTTGTGTCATGATTGTAAGTTTCCTGAGACCTTCCAAGCCATGCAGAACTGTGAGTCAATTAAACCTCTTCTTTATAAATTACCCAGTCTTGTGTATTTCTTCAAAGCAGCATGAGAACAAACTAACATAACTGGTTTCATGGAGGACAATATTCCATGAACTCGGGGAGGGAGACAGTTTCTAACTGAAACTGTTTTACCTCAGATCATCAGGCATTAACTAGATTCTCATAAGGAGGATGCAATCTAGATCTTTTGCACGCACAGTTCACAGTAGGTGTTGTGCTCCTAAGAGAATCTAATGTCACTGTGGATCTGACAGGGTCATAGCTCAGGCAGTAATCCTTACTCACTGC